CTTTCTTTTCTTTTTCTTTTGAGATTATGTTTTCTTTTTTTTTTTTTTATATTGTAAACAACACATGCTTTTCTACTCCACCATGATACAATCAAGTTTCTTATAAGTAATTCTGATACAATGGTAAAAAATTAAAAATGGTACGCCCATAAGATCATAAGAAGGCACGTCAGTTTTCTTCTGGAGTGTGGTGAGTGAAGTGACGCACGAGAGATTTCACATATTTCCATCTTCCTTTGAGAAATGACCCTCGAGAGTGTTAACTTTGCACAGTTCTTTCAAAACAGGAAAAGTTAAAAAGCAATGTACTGAAAGAGATGATGAAGCAGGAAAAACACATGATGAACTATCAAAACCCAGTTCAGTAATCATGAAACCATGATCACAACCATATGTCAAGAAGAAAAGAAAAGGCAATGATTCATCAAAACGCCAATAATCTTCAGAATGAGACATCAGTGCTGTTCGTTTGGTTGTTACAGAGCTGCAGCGATGTTTTTTCAAAAATCATGTTTGTTTGATTGATGCAGGTACATGCGTGTAACCTGCCGCGTCTGACACCAAATCATGTGTTTGACGCCGTAAAATCTCGCAGTCACGACATAAATTTTGTGTTTACTTAAGCTGCATCGGCGTCTGCGTCTTCCAAAACAAACAAAAATTTAGAAATATGAAGCAGCCTCAGACGCAGCCACTGAAAGTCAAACGAACAGCCCTATTGAATCCTTAAACCGCAAAGCAAAAAAAAAAGGCAAGATTACTTTTTCAAATATTTGCATTCAAGTAGCGTAGTGTGTGTAGAAAAATATTAGAATCGATCGATAGGGCCGATGGTTCTTGTCTGTATGCCTCCTATCAGTGTATTCTACAACCTTTTCAATTAATTTAATACGAAAAAAATCTGACATGTGGTGTTCACATCAATTAACGATCTCTTGGAAGTAATGACATCCAATATAAAACATTACTCGTATATATTCTACGTTAGACTCATTTTATATATTCTAGATATGCGACCGCAATGAGCACGGAAAATGTAAAAGGGAAAGCAAAGGGACGAAGTTGTGTCATGAGAAGATGTAAACATGTGAGGCCACATGGGAAATGTCTCTGACCACATTCCTCACCGTTCGACAATCGACATGCCACATTCCTTCCTTCCCAGCGTAGCAACATTTTCATTTTTGTTTTTTTTTCCATTTTTCACTCCATATGTTATTGTTTGTTACATTTTATCCCGACATATCAATAGTAACCTCCAAGTCTAATGACAAAAACAATTTCTTCGAAGGTTATATTTTTCATTTTACTGTGAACCAAATTTCCGATGATGTGAACTAAGGTTATTAATAAAATGAATGATTGGCAATAAACAGTCTGAATTGCAATTATATTTCACAAGAAACAGTCTGAAATGCAAAAGATTTTTGGACACGTGGCGATCAATTATTCACTTTCTCTTCTGTTGGTTTGTGTTCGCGTTGGGCTTCAATATTTATTGATAGAAAGATTTTTATCTTTGATCAAAAAAAAAGAATGACTTTTACCTCTAAAAATTACCTCTTCGCCTCTCCACCTTCTTCAGCTCCCGAAAGCAACGAATTTTGCTCCTCCGCCGCAGATACCTACTGCGAAAGCTGAGACTGGCCGCAGAGACCAACAACTCCAGAAGCTGAGATGTGGTTCCCTCCATGTGCGTGGATTTCATATCCAGTTATCTCGACGGAGACCATTACAGTGTCATCGCCGATTAGGCATCCACATTCACTAAAACGGTTCAAATTTCCAGCGACAGTATGGAAATGTTGATCTTCGACATCGATTAGAAGCTCCTCATGAATTTAGACTACTGGCTCAAGGTTACGGGTACTCTCTCTCTCTCTCTCTCTATTATTAACTATTAGATCTGATCCGTTATAACCGAAGTATCGAAGATTCTTGATCATATATCAAACCTGAATCTGTTGAGATCCCATTTACTGATTAAGATAACTGGTTCTGTTGTAATTACATCTTTGTTTGATTGAATTATTTTTTTGGTTCATCATATATCAAACTTAAATCTGTTTGAATGGTCTTGACAGTGTGTGGTTGTCTTCAATGGAGTTGAGAGATGAGACAATTGTGATGTTGAGACTGAGAGTAAGCAGTAAATGAATGATTTATATTCTTTTTGAGGAGACTCATTTGGATTCAACCAAATATGAGAGCAGTTGAACTTCGGTGTCTTCAAGTGTGACAGTGGCAGATGGGATCAACATGATGCAATTAGTATACTAAGGTATGAACCCTTCATTTTCTGCTTCTCTACTTATCACGTATATTTTTTTGTCATTTAGCAATCTTAATTTTTTCATATTTTTATCACGAACAATTCATCAGAGGAAGGCATTGAGATTGAGTAAGTATCTCCTATTTTCTGCTCTATGTCATTTGTTTAGTATGCATATACAAAAATAACAACAAAATGAAATACCCCGTTGCTGTTGTAATTGAATCGGTTTTAGCATACCGATTGAATTATTTTCTGATGTACATAGGTCCGAACCGTCCGAGTCTAATAGCTTTAATGTAAGTGGGTGGTAGAAGGAACAGCTCCAGCTTTTGAAGCGACTTGAGACTGTACAATGCTCTAAAAAAACTTGGGTTCACTATCGTTTTACTAACCAGTCGGGAGGGCCAAAAGAGTGTCTACTATTCCTTCATTTCATTCAAAGCAAGTTTGCTTCTTGCTTATTTTAAACCTCTAAGCTTTGAAACACACGCTTTGTGTAATGGTTTTGGCAGGAACCAAACAAACGCTCATGCAAACAGTTCAACGGTATGAGAGTTTGGTCAACATTATATCAAAAGCTCATGCAAATGATTCGACGGTTTGAGAGTTTGGCCAACATTATTTCAGTCAATTTGGACGAATGGGTCTTAACGGATCAGCAATCTTGCAACTTGTAAGGATGAAAATTGTGAAACATAGATTGAAGAAGAAGACACTGATGAGGTTGAAGAGAAGGCAGTTGAGCGATGGGATCAAGTAAAAGAAAGACATGCCATTTGGATCCACGAAGAACATTTGATAATGGACTATTTCAGAGATGAATTGATCCAAGAACAAATCCAATGCACGCAACTTACAGAGATCAACACTTGGACGACCAACTGGTGGGTGAGGCAAAAGGATGGTAGAGGGACAAATAAAACCGGAGCTTGAAGTGGAACAAGTGAGCAGAGGAGACATGCATGTGCTAGACTTTAAATTCGCTCTTACAGTAACCTGAACAAAGCAACAAGCAGAATCAATGGTTAGTATCCGACATACTTTGCCAGCCAAATTCCAAAGCACAAGAAACCTGTGGAAGAAGATAGATGTAGCTCTATCACACTCATTCAGGTAACTTGAAGTTTACGCTTAGCTATAGATCAGCAGGCAGAAACAGTTTTGACTAGGTCTTAAGTGACGTCCCACTTTTTGGCTCTATTTTTGTAGGAATAAAGCAAACGAATAATAGAGTGTACATTAAACACTAAAACATATGGCTGTTTCTGCAAACCCATCTCAGCGGTTGTTCTTTTTTTTTCAGTTTCTCAGGATGTTATTAAATATTACAAGAACAATCAAACTTATTGGAGCACTATAACAAAAAAAAAAAAAAGCAGAGCAATACAACATTTTGATGAGGTTGTTTATTATAACTCCTTACTGAGGATTGAAGTTCCACGATAATGAAGTTATGGGATCCACTTTTGTCTAAATAAAGATTCTCTTTGAGCATCACCAAGATAAAGACTATAAAAGTATGTCTTGGGATTGTTATCTAAGCCTTCGAGTGTTAGTTAATTCTGTGAAAAAAAAAATTTGGTTTCGATCATTTATATATGTTTACTTACTAAGTTTGTAGGTCTCATGATTATTTTTGTTATTTACTTTTTGGTTGATTCTACCATTTAGTAGTTGAACCGTTTACTTTTTTTGGATCAAATAGTGTTTACTTTTTTTACTTGGTAAAAGGTGTCTAAAAACGATATGTGGTCAGTTATATTATTTTCTATCATTACTGTGTTGATGAAATTCATGGAAGTTCTTTTTAGTATTACTATAATGTAGTTATTCAGACTAAATGTAGGACTCTTAACTCAACTCCTTCCATAAAATTTCATTTTACAGAATCAATCGAATTCCAATTTAGTCAATTTATTTTGCATTTGTAATCAGAAACTATATTATTTCAAAAAATCTTAGTCACAACTCGAAAGCAACATAAAACATTTGTTCACAACTGACATGTGAATGGTGAAGAAGACAAAATTGAACGAATATTTAGAAAATATCTATAAAACCAAAGGTAAACCTGCTATCACCATATATATACCATTAGGTAACAAACTGGTTTTCTCTACCCCTCCTCCGAGTAAGCCTCTTCCAGATTATTACACATTCTCTTTTAAAAGTCTAAATGGCACTAGCATTATATTTATTTTTCATTGCTATCTCCAAACACACATATAAAATAAAGGTTGTACGCGATTAACAATACCTTATATGGACTATCAATGCGGTTATGGATGAACTCTTCCATGCAATATCAAACCATATTTAACCGTTGCTGAAATATCACCATTTACTCAATTAAATAAATCTTTAGATTAATTATAACTTATATTATGTGACTATGAAAATGTTTTTGAATGTGTATAGATCTTTTTAGAAAGCGTTAAAAATAAAATATAAACAGAATAGAATAATTAAAATCTAGTGAAATATAACAAAATACATAATTCATAATATGAAAATTAAAGGGGTTAGTCATTTTACATAATGTGTTCAAAAAAAAAATTTATTTTACATAAAAAAATAACATTTCCGCGCGAAGCGCGGACCAACCACTAGTGTAACAATAATATAAGGTTTGGTACAATTAGAAGTTTTAGCATAGTCTCGAAAATAAATACGCCCTTTACTGAATTTTTCTTTGCTTGCTTTGGCTATGTAAGAAAATGTTGGTAAATGGCAAATTAATAATCTAAACTGAAGTTTAAGGAAACAGTTGTAACATGATGTTAAAGAATACTTATGAACATAGGATACACACGCAAATAGTGAAAAGATGGCTGGTTAATATGTATATAAGAAAACGTTTCGTGTTACCCTAAAATTACTTGAGGAGTAAGAAATTAAACTCGAGCTGAGTCCTCAGACGCCATTGGTAGCGTTATCGATGTGAACTCCATTGCTGTCTTCATAAATCTTCCCATTCACTTGAGCCCTCGGTCTCTGAAAGAATAAAAAGGACATTATGATCAATCAATCTATCAACTTTTCAATCGGATTTGTCAATAAGAAGACTAGTTCAGAAATGTGTACTCTGTCTGCAGGATCAACACCGTTCCCGTTCAAGAATTTGTGATTGTCTTCCTTGGTTCTGTCTTTTGAGCTCAAAGGAAGTAACACCGTGGTCCTATCAGGCAACTCTGTTTCGCAAAACAAAACTATATATGAGAATCTGCTGGTTGGTCTCTGACAAGTAAAAGATCAAACCTGGTAGTTTCTTGTCGAGGAAGAACACAACCAAGTTGACGGTGTACCACGCAACGACAACATCCACTGTGTAATGTTTACGGGACGCGATAATCAAGAGGCTTTGCAAGATGGCAATGACCCAACCTAACAGCTTTATAAACCTGAAAAAGAGAGAGACATTAGTAAAAGCTAATAAAGAGATGAGAAACGACATTTGTGGAGGAGGAAAGTGTGTGTACCTTTTAGAACCGTATTTCTGGTAAGTGAGGACAAAGACTAGTGTGAATATCATATGCGATGAGAAAATCAAATCTCCACATCCATATATCACACCACGAGGAACTGACATGAATCAGAGTATTATTACGTAAGTGCGAGGAGAAGTTGTACATAAGAAAATGTGTTGAGGGAAAATGTTAAAACTCACAGTTAATCAAGAGAACCTCAAGAACGCTATGTGGGCGTGGCAACGTGGCAAGCTCAGAACCCTGTAAGTAAGACAAGAAGAGACTCACCAGAATAAACACAAGAGTATTGATGATACGCCACTAGTGTAGAGTTTTTATCAAGTTTTACCTCACGACAGTGATAGTTAGGGCCAGGAAGCTGAGTAGAATAGAATGTTATTACTCGGAGAAACTGACAAGCCTGTTAATGGATGCAACAAAATTCAATACCGACCAACCCTTGACTTGTAATACGCAGCAAAAGGAAAAAAAAGAAACTTACAACTAAGAAGGCAAGAACCCTGCACCATATCAACACAGTGTAAATCTTCTTGCTTTTCATGATGAATGGATGGAAAGTCCACTGCAAATTTTATAAGGCAAAAAAAAAAAAAAAAAAGAATTCATATAACGGGGTGCTTGGCCAGAACAGAACCATACAAAAATCATGAGGAAACACACCAGTAAAAACGAAAGAAATACACAAGTGAAGACAGTTTCACTTATGTAGCCTTTATCTTGACCAAGCTCCTAAAAATCAAAAAAAAAAAAACTTCAATTTGACATATATGCTAAAGAAAATTAAATCAGCCAAACCAACAAGGTCAAAGATTCTGAGACAAACCGGAAGAAGAATATATCCAAGATCTTGAAGTGTTTGTCCAGGTCGATGAATATAATGAACTCCCCTAGCAGCTAACCCATGAATATACTGCCACATAACAAATACACTCATAAAATGTCAACACTTACCTAAAAAGAAAACTCCAAGACTCTACTAAAACCAAAGCAACCAAGAGATATATATATAAGTCATAAAAGTTACTACCCCCAAATAAAAAGGGGCAATGTTCTAGTCTTGTCCTTTAATAAAGAGCAAAAAGGTGTTGAATACACCTCTAGGTATTCAATAACAGAGTGAAAGTAAGTGAGTTTAATACTATAAAGAAAGATGGGAAAACCTGACAGAGAAGACCAGCAAGAAGGTACTTCCAATTCTCAACGAGGAGACCAATCTCTGTCGTTATTTCCGAACATACTCGCTTCCATAGCTATAAAAAAAAAAAACAATGAACCAAATCAGCTTACTTATAATATAATAACAAAAAAATAATTGCAGAATTCAAAAATTTGAAGGAAGAGGTACCTTAGAAGCTTCGCGGCGAATGTAAAGCGTCATTCTTTATTTATTGATGTTCTTCCACTTCCATACTACTTACTACTTCAGACCCCAAACCAAACCAAACCAAACCAAACCAAACCAAACCAAACTAAACCAAACTGATAAATTCAAATCTTCACCAGCTAATTTCAAATTTTGATCTGTCGAATCGGAAAGAAAGTTGTAAATCCTCCGAAACCCAAGCCGCAGGACACGTCTCGCTTCAACGACGGATCGACGATCGAAAAGGGAGAAACGAGAAGGACGGTGACACCCAAAGAGGATCAAAAGACAACAGAGAAGCTTTTTAAAGTGGAAAAAGGATTTCTCTTTTAGGAGGATTCTGAGAACAACGATGATCAACAAAAAGCCCTAACAACAATTTATCCTTTGGAAACAAAAAATCAGCGTTTTGTGGAGAAAAAGAACATTAGAGGATCGTTTAGGTGAACGCGAGTTCCAGACGGAGAGAACGGTTGAACATTTTTCAAAACATAAAATAAATGGCGACTTTATAAACATTTTATTTTGTTTTTATTTAATCAAATTAAATTAGCACTGCTGTATAAATAATATAAGCAAAACTAGCCATGCGCATACGGTCCTTGGTCCGGGTTCGGTTCCGTTCTTCACTTTTAATTATTTAAGATCCGTTCAAACATCTAGAAAATTTGGTTCGATGTTGATTTTATTAATTTGGTTTTTAATTTAGTTCAGATAACAAAGGTAGGAACCGACTAATATCCAACGTAATTTTAGATAACATTTATTTTCGGTTTGGTTCTGATTTTTGGTTAAAATGTTGAAAAATTCAAGTTTTAGATTGAATAACAAAATTTTATGGTTTTTAGTGAAATTTGGATACTTCCATTTTAACTATTTCGGATAAAAAGAGTTTGGAAATTCATTTTTTTGAGTATTTTGATTTATAAATAAAAGTTATTAATTATTTGAATAGTTTAAAATTAAATATAGTTAACATTTATAAGTATATAAATTATGTTACAGAAGTTCGAGTATCTTATCTCTTTTGGCAAGGATAGACACATGAAGCTTAGACCACGCTTTTCAAGAACATAATGAGGCGGCAATGGCTATTGTTCTAAGTGACACTCGTGATCAACGTCATCAGTCATACATCACCCGACATGCATCAGTTTGGATTCATTATCTTCTTGCTTTGGAGGCTCAAAAGTAATATGTTTATTTTGGTGAGTTTCCAGTCATTCTGTTTAGATGTCTATTGACATCCCAATTTTTTTTCCGTCTTTTATGTATCATCTGCTTCCATTTGTTGAACTGTCCCTACAAGTGTTATAAAAAAAAAGAAGTTCGAGTATTAATTCGGTTTCAATTTTTTGATTCTATTGATATAAGATCCGCTTGAATAATTGATAGGATCCAAACCCAAAGTGAATCTCGTGTTTTGATTCTTCAGTTTGGATAAATGTGTTTAATTCCAAATAGATGAGTTGTTAGCTGTGTTCTATCATAGCTATCTCTGAGCCTGGTGGTATAAGTGCTCTGTACAACATAAAATTCAGAAGTTATTCAATATGATACACATCAATATATCATTATTTACACGAAGTAATTTTTGTCTTTGAATATGCAGCAAAACACCTAGTTATTTAGTATAATGCTAATCGAACTACATCATAACTCTTTAAAAAAAAAGATAAATTGCTATCAAGATAAATCTTTATAATGCAAATTTTGTATTACTACCTGATACATGCAACTCTGGCAATAAACAATCTGCACTTGCTGAGACGTAAGATTAATTAAATTTCATGAACCACAACATAAGCTACCTAACAAGTTCTTGTTTTCTTCCCTTTACGCCATCTTATGGAATTTAAATAAAAGAAACAAGAACTAATTACTTTATGAAGCAAGTTAGTAAACGTAACTGCAAAGCGCCATATGCTACCCATCTTTGAGCAACTACTTTCACAAATTACCAGAGTTATTTGAATCTATATGAGCTTTTATTACCCATTAGTTTTTATATTTTCTGAGTATTTGATAAGAGAAGTGAATGAATCAGTACCGTTGGTCTCTCATGTAAATTTGGCGCTGAAAAACTGGAAAATCAAAACACCAAACAGAGCAACACCGAGCTGGATACCTATCTGAACCATCACATTCTTCAGAATCAGCCAGGCTTCCTCCGACCATTTCCTCTTCTTTCCACTGCTCACCGTGGTCGTACTTTCTTCTTCCTCTCTTCCATCATCGTTATCCTTTGTCTCATCCACTTCTTGTATAGTCTTAGTCTCCTCTCTTATTTCTGAACCAACTTCGGTTATCTCCCCCGGTTTCTTGTTGAATAATCCTTTGAACTGTTTTCTAGCTTTGTTCTCCGCTTCCTGTGACGAGGTCCTAAGATACTAGATTTTAGCCAAGCATGTCTAAATCATAAATAGCCTTTCGAACTCCAATACTGACTGACCTGTTCTTTCTGCTTGAGTTTCAAAAGTGCAGTTGTCGCATCAGCTTCTGATGATTTATCCACTTTGATCATCTATATCCACAAAAGTCATATTAGTAAACAAATTTCCATCTCTAAGGATTGGACTATAACAAGCAAATTTAGTATAAAATACCATATTGAAGTCATTTCTAGCGTCTTGATACTCTCCACCTGCCATGTAAGCCATTCCGCGGCGGTAGAGACCTTTCACATTGCCGGGCTTTGCTTCTAGGACCTGTTTGGAAATGGGGGTGCAGAAGGTTTCAGAAACCCCAACTTATAATTCGTGAAAAACCCCTAAATGATGTTACCTTATTACATGTCTCTACAGACTTCCTCCACTCTCCCAATTTAAGCAAGCAAGCCGCAACATTCAGATGTAACATATTCTTCAAATACCAGCAGAGCAGGGATACAAGAGCTAGTTAAAACTTAATACTATTATTATCAGAAATATACATTATCTACAACTAGAACATAAACTCACCCTTGCTTCACCAAATACTTTTCCTTCCTCATCATCTTGTGGGTTTACATGATTAAATTCCCGGAGCACCTGTTTTTTGTTCACCACTTAGACACAATGAAACACATACTAATACTGGACTTACAGATACTGACAAAGGGAGGAAACTGGATTTGCTACCATTTCGTGGACTCTATTACCTTTTCATACTTTGTTTTTGTGAGCTCAAATTTTCCTTCTTTGAATAGCATGTTACCCTGAAGTCAAAGTATAACCAAAAACAAGGAGCTAAAGTTAGAAGATTTGCACATGATTAGCTATGCAAAACTCTGTTGTGGTTCAATCTACAATATAGGTGAAATGTATAAATAGCTGAACATTTGATGTATACCGTGCTTCTGATATTTTCTGCCTCATTCATGATGCTCTGGAAGTCCAACCCAGTCCAGTCCTGTTACAAGATTCTCTGGAATCATAAGATATGGAAGCTGTTTACAGTTCTATCGTAAGCATCAACACCAGATCAACTTACTCTTGGCGTTTCGAAACCAAGGAGTTCAATCTCCCACTGAACATGTGCACCTTCAGGAACGCCAGGCGGCCTATCAAGAAAGAAAACAATCAAAATGCATTTGTTTCTCCACTAACAATGTATATGCTATCATGTTCAGTGTGGTTCACGAAGTTATGAGTATGACCTTGGAAATTTATCATATGCATAAATAGGGGGACATGTAACAAGAGAAATCTCCCCTGGTAGCATCAAACGAGTACACATCTCAAATCCCTCAGGCACCTGTTCACGCAAAAAAAAAAAACATACGCTTAAAAACTCCACCAGGGGTTTTCTATAAACATGATAGTAACTGACCAGTCCTTCTCCTGAACTGAAATCCAACGGCTGATCATTATTTTCAATCCTACTGTCATAGAAGACAGTCTTCTCTTCATTGAGAAGCATGCCCTTGTAATGAACGCTTAACCGACTGTCTTGGAGAGGACAATCCATTGGAAATTCTCCTAATAAGTTGATGAAACGTTGCAGATCAGAATAGTCAGGCAGATAAAGCTAAATATCTAGAAAACAAGAGGTTGGAGTCTAGGAAATGCCCGGCAAGATGCATATGAGTAAAAATCCGCATCATGTTAAAACAGTTAAAAGAAAGTGTTAAGCATACCTCTTCCATCTCGAATTCGACGTTTTATGAGACGTCCATCTCCAAGCATGTCTCACACCTTCACAGTGAGAACTCCAAATGTCAATCACTCAGTCCCCAATTCTTAAATGCGGAAAATACTACATAAGAAAACAGGATTATACAAGTTTTGTCTTTAGTATACCTGAATGAAATGTACAAATTCAACCTCAAAATGAACTTCCTCGAGGTCTTTAGCTATATGCATCAAAGGAGATTCAGTCAAATACTGCTTGCGAACATATATCATGCCTTCTCCTTCCGAGCCATTGTTCCAATTCCGACTTCAAGACCTTTAGGCACCTGCCTAATTGGCGAGCAGTAGTCATGAATGATAGTACTCCACCAGACCACATATGCTTGGGCAGAGAGAAAGTAACTGAAGATGCCCCATAAACTTTAACAATCACCTCAGATTTTCCAAACGTGAAGAAATAAGGTTCTTCTTTGTGAGATAAGATCACTTGCCCATCACCAGATTTAGCTGATATCCTAATATACACGACAAAAATGCATCAAAACTTCAATCAATCTTTCAGCACACAAGGTTAGATGATTTTTAGACTCAAAATGAGAGAATGATTAAAGATTAAACAGATTACCTGACTTTTACTTCATAGGGTTCTCTAGGAGATTCCCAGCCCTCGCCTTCATTTACAATCTTTCATATAAAAGGAAAGCAATACGTGAACCACCAAGAAGAACAAGAATCATGTCGTTCTGGCAATATGGAAAACCAGGTCCTACCTTCTTGATGACCCCAAGATCATCACTTACAATCTGAATAATTAACACAAGGGAAACAAACACTTAAAATCAGAACATATGAAATGCAAGTTTCCAGAGTCTTTCGACTCACTGTTATTCTGGTTTGTAATGAGATCTTGCCTTGGCTTTAGCAAAATCCAGCAATTCAATCTCAAAATGAAGCTCATCATCTTTAGGGAAATTAGCCGGAGCTGAGACTGGACAATCCTTCTCTGCATAGTGCATCTCAGGTTTCATCTTGAACTGGAAAAAAATGGAAGACAAAGACTTTCATAAGCGGTGAAGGATCATGAAAGTGAATTGACTTGAATTTCAGGTAACTAATAACTCCAGTGGATAAACTAAAGCCTATCAGTAACCAAACTATGAATCCGAGTAAGAGAGCCAGCTTTGAAACATACAAAAATGGCAAAGCACTAGAGTAAACATTATCTTTGAGGCCAGAAGTGACGGATCTTTAGAAAATTTACCATAGAAATTTCACCCTTACGCATTGTGGGAATCCCTTCGAGCAATCCAAGTATCATTTTGCTCTTCCCCAAGACATCTCTTACTGGTAAACCCCTCCATGGAAACATGAAAAACCAAATTCATCCAATAAATCCCTAATCTCAACGTTACTCCTTACTGGTAGTTTCATCAGCCTCACCTCCACATTCAGACCTCGTAGATTCAACTACTACACCATCCAGTGTCCTCACAGTACAGTGATAAATAATCTGATCACCATCCTTAGGGATTGACTCGCCTCCTCCAGGTCTCACCACTGCTTTCAACAAGCTCCCAGCAACAATTTTCTTCCTCCTAATCAAAGATACAGTTCTCAAAATAATAAAACCTATTCAGCTAAGAATCGAGCAGAGATAGAAACGAACCTCTTATCGTCTTCCGTTTCGGATTTCTTCTTCTTGGGCAAATGATTCTGCTCCATCGCCGATCAAATCCCAAACTGCGTTTTGAGTCTCTCCACCTTAATACTTTGGTAGCTCAACAACTGAGTTTTATTCTAATATCAAATGATGAAAGAAATTAGCTTTATAAATACACTTTTTGTTTTAAATTGCCAAAAAAAAAAAAATGTTTTAAAACTGAAAAGTCAAAACTCACGACTTTCAGGAAATAATTTGCTAGACAAGTCATAACGGGGCTTAAGTTGGTCTTGACATATACTCGATCCGTTTTCTGGGATCAATATCAATCGATATCAAGAATGCTACATCGAGCGACATAGTACGTTCGACAGTTTCCTCTCGCGAGGAAGACAGATCACACGTCATTAAAATCGTAACTTCTGCTACTGGATGCTTATGTCAAAATATGGGCTTAAACTAACGGTGGGAAAGTCTTCATTCATATCTACACATCTGATATGTCTGTGCAGTCAAGCACTCAAAAGATTCAAAAAGACACTAAAATCACCATATTTTTTTCCAAAATGTATTTGAACCTGTAAATACTCTACAAAAACACCAAAACATAATAATCAATACCATTAAAAGGGAATAATTCCCTTTAATGAGTTTTTTTTACGTTTTCCAAAATTACCCTTAATGTTTTGAAGAAATTTTTATTTTGGATAATAGCAATATTGGTTTTTGGACCAACAAAACTATTTAATTTGTACAAACAATATCTATTTAATGGGTTGCTTAATGGACTAATCTCTTTCAATATACTTTTGAATATTTTTGCAAAAATAAAGTGTATCAGTCTTAATACACCGCTTTTTGCGGGTTTATAGAATTTTTAGAATAAATCAATACCATTAAAGGGGATCATTCCCTTTAATGAGTTTTTTACATTTTTCAAAATTACCCTTAATGATATGAACAAATTCTTATTTTCATTAATGACAATATGGTCTTTTGGTTTTTGGACGTACAAAGCTATATAATTTGTACAAACAATATCTATCTAATGGGTTGCTTAATGGGCTAATCTCTTTCAAAATATTTTTGAATATTCTTGCAAAAATAAAGCGTATCAGTCTTAATACACAGTTTTTGGCAGGTTTATAAAATTATTATAACATTTTTTTTCTTAAAACCAAACCGGGTTACATATAAAGTCATCAATTTTTTCGGTTTACCTATGGGTCCAAATTATTTTTCAGAACACAGAATATAACGCTTCATGTGTAAAAAATTTTGATACATAATAAAAAAATACAATTTATATCATATAAATTTGGTTTGTTTCAATAATATTTCCGCACTTTGAACCAGTATCAGAGTCCCAGGTTTTAGCAGGATATTTGGGGGGTTTATAAAAAGTTTAAATAAAAAGTTTTTTTTAAAGGAAAATTGGATTACATATGAAGTCATTGGTTTTGTCGGTTTAACAACGGGTCCATATCGTATTTCATAACACTGAATATATATATGGTTCATGTGTAATATTTAAATTTCACATTTATATGTAAATACATATTCAAACATGCAAATTTATAGCATATAAATTTGATTTTTTACGGAAATAATCCCGTAGTTTAAAAGCGCCGGTCAAAATCTAGTTATATCTTAAAACACTTATAAACCATGGCTGAAAGTGGGTTAAATTCATAGTATAACAAAGAGAAATTACTTGAAATGACTCTAATTAATCATAAAATGACTAGACTAACTCATATAATTTGGAAATAACTAGAATGACTTCTGAAACATGTAAACTTACGATTTTGCCATTATTAATAGTTAATCTTTAATGAAAAATATATGTTTAATCTTATAAGAAAAGGAAGAAAAAAAATCAGAATTACCTTTGTAGGGTTTCTTCACCGAGTTGGTCGTTCTCCTCGCCGTCTCCATCACATCCATCTGCGACGGTCTATTTTTCTCTCACAACTGGCTTCGTCTCCGTCACCTCTATCTCCAACAACCACTCCACCGTGAACTGTCGTCGTCTCTGTTGTTCTCCACCCTAATTGAGTTCGTCTATGTCATCGTCGAGGAAGAATAAGTCAGTTTCACCTTGGTCATTCACCCTAAATCGAGTTACTTGAATCTGTAAGACATAATCTAGAATATTCGAAGTTCTTTGTTAATTCCCAATTTGAAATCCCTAATTCTCAATTTGAAAATCCCTAATTCTCAATTTCAAAAATTGATTTGGGTTTTCTCTTTAGAACAATATCTATGATGATCGTGTCAAAACTAAAACATCAAAGTGGTGTATTTGATTTCTCTACTTCCAATACATTTTTTTCTAATCTGCAAAGTTCTAGTCTTAGCATGGAGAGAACCTCTGTTTCTGGAGTCACTGTTCAGCATTCGGGACTCTCTATCTATAGTCAGGATCCTGCTCGAGTTTATGCAGCTTTTGTTACACAAGTAGATTCCATTGGATACAGTCTTCTACTAGTGTATTTGAACTTATTGCATCTAAGCTAATCTCTTCAAACTGGAACTAGTAAAGACGTTTCTGTTATGGGTTTTGCTTAACAGGTATCGCAAGCGAGGCAAATACCGTTCTCCTGTGTGGAAGATATCACAGGTTTAGAAGGAGCTAATATAATCTACATCTGTAGAAGAAGTGGAGCCACCATTACCACTCAAGGGAGTCCACATCCTGATCAAATCACAATGGAAATCAAAGGCACCTTTTCTCAAGTACAAACTGCACCTTTTCATAGAGACGGTGCAGTACATACCAACAGCAGCATACTCTCAACTTGCAGGTCCGTCGTCAACCTACACGCCATCACTGGGTGGGCAAACTTTTGGAACGGAATATAGAGCAGCTTCTGATGTTGGACGCTACAACAGTTATAATTTGTGGTTTGTTTGCTAGGTTTAGAGAGGAAGATCATTTATGAAATAGAAGGAAAGAACAAGTGCTAGAGAGCCAATGTAGCTGAATGTGTAATGTAAATCTAGGTGCCTGTTTTTTTCTGACTTAAATCTTGATATTTTTACACAACAGATCTGGCCACTGTCAAATAAAAACAGTTTGGTGCTTCTTTTTATAAACCTGTTAGTTTTGATCTTGTATGGTATTGTTTGAGAAATCTGACAGAAATAAGAAGACATAAGAATGTTTTCTTTTTCTTCTCATTTCTTATAAAGAATCTGACAAGTTACTTCTAAAACGTACAACTTTTTATATTATCAAGTTGGAACTTCTTTGTGGTCTAGACTGGAGGGAGAGAAGAATTTTGTTAATGCGGAATTTTACTCGAGTGTTTGGTCGGAATAATCTTTTTGCAAACATAACTAAAGGTCTGCAGTGTCCAAGTAATTTAATACCCTGATCATTGTCCATTTCAAATACACTAAAAATAAACCAGATTCAAAATTGAGTTAAACCAGGTTTAATTGAACATTAAATTAAGTTTGGTTTACACAAACTCAAATTTCTATAAAAAAATCTACCACAACATAAATTAATAAATCTGTCACTTTATAAATTAATAAATCTACTACAAATTTAAGTCGATTATGTAATTCTGCCATAAGAAAATAAATCGAATATAGGAAAATAAGTTGAACACAAAAATCTACCATTTATAATAAATCTGACGTTTCTTGTGCCAGGTATATCCCTAAAAATCTATTTTATATTCATATCAGACAATTAAATCTGTCATGGAAACAAATCTGACGTCTTTTTAAAAATCTGACATCACTTCAATGGTAAATTTTTTTTTCTAAACAGATTTTATTAACAGATTTATTATTTGACAGGTTTGTTTTTTGAAAATAAATCTGTCAACGATCAAATACTAAGGGCATTATGGTAATCTTTTTATTTGTTATAACTATAGACAAGGGTAATTTCGACCAAAAAAATATTCTAATAATTTTTGAAAATTATGAGTCATTATAGTAATAACACAATTAATTTGAGTCATTTAAGTAAACTTCCCTATAACAAAACCATAAAATTATATTTTACTGCCAAATTTGCGAAATTACATTTTCTGACCAAAACCGTAAGACTATATTTTCTCTGAAAATTGTGAAATTTTTTTCCCACCATTTTTCTGCTAAAATTTTGAAATTATGTTGTCCTGCAATCGTAAATTTATGTTTCACGAAAAATCGTAAAATGACGTTTTTCGCCAAAACCATTAAATTATATTTCCGTCAATGATAACATGGTTTGGAATTAACTGTGTGATAAGGGTTTTTACACCTCAGAGCAAATCAATTATAGTATTTTAGATTGTCGAACCACAGGGAACTAGTGATCTAAGCAATAAGAGTACACAAACTTTCCTAATCTAAGCAAAAGAGAGTTTGATTTGTAACAAGCTAAGGTTCCTAGGGGTTTTTACACCTCAGAGCAAATCAATTATAGTATTATAGATTGTCGAACCAGAGGGAACTAGTGATCTAAGCAATAAGAGTACACAAACTTTCCTAATCTAAGCAAATAGAGAGTTTGATTTGTAACAAGCTAAGGTTCCTAGAAATATAAACAAGGTGATCTCAAATCCAATCTAGAAACAATCACAAGAACTACTTTTAATCAAATGATAAGGTAGAATCCATGGAATTAGGCAATTGATCTTAAGCAATTAAAGTTTCAATCAAAATGTTCCTTAAGTCTAAACAACAATGCTAAGCAAGTCCTAGATCTAGGCAAATGCTCATTTACTTTCATTAATCAAACACAAATGGTCATTGGCTTAATTAATTTAAACAATCATTAAGAATAGGTTTAATAACTATCTAAGACTCCTAGATACAAATGGTCATTGGCTAGGTAGTCTTAAAGCTAAGGAGAGTTGGTTCAGTCATTTAAACATACACCTTGTGAGCAGAAAATGACTAAGGTTCAATCCTAGAGTGATCAAGTCTAGAATAGCATTAAACACACTCAACTAGCAAGGAAACACTTAGATCTACACTTAATCACCTTAAATCTACCTAACCCATGAATTCTAAAATTGTCTACTCTCTAATCTCCATGAGAAACCTTAAATCCATGATGGATTCAAGGCTAATCATGTTAATGAGAATGAGAAACAAGATATAAGATGAAATACTTCCTTAAAATGATAAAAAAATTCAAGCTTTTACAATTAGAAACAAGTTCTTGAGAGAAAATGAGATACTTTAGGGTTTTTGAGGTCTAAAACTATATATAGGAGGTCTAAATTCGTCCCGGTTCAATTGAGTTAAACCGGGTCAAACCGGCTTAAACCGGTCAACATCTTGACTTTGACTTCACCGCTGCCAAGTTTCCCCCGCGGTCATCACCTGCGTTGTGTGCTCGCGTCTTGAGCCAGATTTCGCGACCCTCCTCTTCTGCGATGTTGCCCGCGAAATCTCCCTGTTGGATTTGGCGATGCACGGCCGCGACCATCACTCTCCTGCGAAGGGTTCCTGCGGCAGAGACAATGAATTCGTCGTCACCGGTCTGCGTCCAACTTCAACCCATGGTGGTTAGGCTTCTTCTCTATCTCAGTACCGAGCTGCTGCTTGCTCCGTGATCCACCACCTAAGGGTCCTTGTCTCCTCCGTCGCGCTTAGCTTCACCGGAACCGTGGCTGTGTCCTAAACCACCACGAACTTCTTCTGCTCCGACCTGGTCATCATCCTCAGCCAAGCTTTGACCACGCCATGAATGTCATCCATCTCCCTCGAGCTTGTCCTCCGGCGTGAATCTTAGCCACCTACATCCGTTCCGTCGTTGTCGTGCTCTCAGCCCGTGGTAGTGCTCCGGTGAGCCACACCA